ACAAGGTATATCACACCTATTATGACTGACACCGATTTCATAGTAGTTGTAAAATTGTAAAGAACCTACCATACAAGTACAAAGCCTACCCCAGCTTTAAAAATACCATACTCATAGAATAATCCCATAGTACTGTCAATAAATGGCGGTAAGGTTCTTGTATTAACTGTAGGCACCTGTATTTTTTATATGCAGCTGCTATCTGATAGGAGTCCGCATATATTTGGTATATACTTGGTAATGCTACCTGTGAAGGTCGTACATCAGTGGTCATCTAAGAAATAAAATATCATAATTTTTTTATGCTAAAGATCATTATACAGTCAAATGATGTTAAATCATATCAAAGTTCAATGGTTGCCACAGTCACACTACCTCTTTACCTATCGTGTTAAACATATATTATCCAGGTGATTTCATTTCTACAAGTGGTAGAAAGTGAAACCCTACAGTATACGGCTGTCTAAATTTTGCAACTTCATTTTATAAGTTGCATTGTACGCACGTACGTACAACATGCTGTTGTCGAAGGCAGATTATGTAAACCACCTGAAAGGTCATCATAACAACAGGAAGCAACCTGCTATACTGTTGTGGTAAACCCTCCTACAGTAGAATGAACTCTTCCTCTTCTCATAAATACAAACTGCAAGAGTCGGTTGGGAAGCGGAGACGCAGTGTTAACCTGACTGTTCGGACGTACACCTCTAACTACTTATTACTAACACTCTTGTATATATTTGTTATTTCAATACACTTGTTTCAACCTACATTTCTCTTCCGTGTCTTTCTTTCTGGCCTATAAACAAGCCATAACACATATCAGTCTCCGACAATATCTGGATTGTTTGCAACAAGATCTGCAGATTATTATCTGGACTGAGTAAGCACATGGCGGTACACAGGAGAGTTGTAGGGTATGTAGATTCAGTCAAACCAATCAAAAATATTGTCATATATATATATATATATATATATATATATATATAAAAAAGGATGTGATGTGTGTGTGTGTGTGTGTGTGTGTGTAACGAATGCACGGCCGCAATTTTCGACGGATTTGCACCAAAATTTACATGCACATGCTCCAACTTAGTGGAAAGGCCAAGAAAGACGTTACATTTCCCAAATCCCATCGATAGTGGAAATAATCGATTTTTTCATGCTTCTACGGCAGTTTTCATGTAGTTTTGTACTGGCCAGCTGTTTGCCACGAATAGGCAGGAAGATTCTATTGGCCAGCGTGAGAGCCAACAGCTGACTGACACGAATATTAACTAGCATGCTAGCATGCAAAAAAAAAAAAAAATAGATAGCTACATTCGTCACAAGTAGGAAAAATTTAAACCTGCATGGCACTTTACTCTAATTGGCTCATTCGCTTGCTTAAACTCAACGTTGATTCTGATTCCGCAGAACTGGGTTGGGTTTGAAAAAGTATTTGTTGTTAACATTCTTTTTTCATTCGGTTTTCCACCTTTTTTAAAGCTCCTTTTTTTGTGTTGATTTTGTTTTGTTCTTTTTTTAATGTTTAGTTTAGTTTAGAGATTAGAAAAAAATTGCAGTGTGAGATAGGCAAGAAGCAAGGCACGTAGCAACATCAGTACGGCAAACGGCATTCTTTTAAAGGCAAGGAAGGGCAAAAATATTTTAAGTCAAGTGATAGCGATTGCTGTATGAGCCGTACGATTTTTGAATCAAGCACAGGCAACACCGGACCATGCTGCTAGTATGTATATATATATATATATATATATATATATATATATATATATATATATATATATATAGTATTGGGGACAGCAGATCATTATTCAAACATATATTCTTAGATATAATAGACAACGAATGTCTGTTACGTTTGATTATGAGCCGTTCTAAGCTTCGTATACTGACTTTAGTTTCAGGAGAAATGACAAATGCTGTTCCTCGATCTAAGCTTTCGAGTCACATGAGCCATCGTCAGAGTGGTTTTATGGACAATTACATTTCAAAGCAGTCACAGCATATTACAATGCCTTTAAATACATGGTTCTATTGATAACATTTCTTTCTCCCACGTGGTCATATATGACGTCATAGAGCCGCATTACGAATTTACGACCTGTGTCTGTTATTCCGTGACCGTTATCGTCGCTTAGCAAACATCTATGTAAACATAACACGATGCCATATTTGATGGTGAACATCTCTGCTGTAATTTCCATATAACCATTATGATGATGGCTTATGTGAGACAAATATTTACATCAAGGAAAAGCATAAAGAAATCTGAAAATTTTGGACATTTTTTGTCTTTATTTTCTCCCGAAACTAAAGCCAGTATACTAAGCTTAGAACGGCCCATGATGAAACATAATAGACGTGGCTCTCATCTTAGTAAGATTTAGTAATCATTATATATGCATATATGTATCTACTGTCGGGATTTCAAGTCCGACTCTTTGGGGAAAGGGAACGTAGAAAAACTATAATAGGAATTATTGGCATTTAAAGTGAAACTCAGCAAAGAAAGAAAGAAATTATAACGAATTACGGAATTCTCACTTGTTACTGGTGGAGTCTCATGGTGGCAATCATTTGAGTAAAAAGAATTGCAACAAAAAACGCTATACGTTGCCTACAAGTAGTTCTCCTTGAAGAAGTAACGCTGGAAAAAAAAGAGTAAAGACTCTTATTAACAGTTTTGGTAACGCGTCCAGTCAACTTCGAAAAACGGAGCTCGGTCGTAAGGAAGGAAGAAAAATTACTGCTACCACGACTTTGAAGAAAAATTACAATTCGGTAAAGTATATTTTGGACAGTTTTCAGGCCAAAAATATATGATATAATCTTCTTAATCTGTGATTAAAAGCCTCGGTTAATTTCAAAGCAGATTAAACATAGTTATCAACAAAAATCGTGACGCTCAATCTACAAATCCCCTTTTTTACGCAAGATTGAAACCGACATTTAAAAAATGACAAACATAGCTAAGAGATTTAGAAAGTATATCTCGCTTATTTTGAATTAATCGACCATTGGAGTTTTGTTATTTTTCAAACCTCCAGGCTGAGGTAAAAAGTTATTTGTATAGTAAACTTTAGCGGGATTTTATTTTTTTTTTTTTACTGTAAAGGAAATTGAGGATGTACTGAATTAAATTTCCAGCCTCATTAATTCATTCACGCAAATACCCTTCGGAAAAGTCTGATTCCATCTCTTCTCTGCGACATTGCTAAGTTAAATAGCAGGGCAGACTGGACTCTCTAGCTTTGATTGGAAACCAGTTTAGGAGAAGGATAACTTTTTTTATTTAAAACCAGTTGTCTCTGGGGCTGGTAGCTCTACCACATAAGAAAAAAAATTAAAACAAAACAAAAACTTATTTCTAAAGTATCCATGGTAGATGAGGTAGCATGGTACTCTTTAGTGTTGCCTAATCGTATTATGGACACGGAGTTAATCTGAACTAGAGTGATTTGTAATTCAAAACTGAATAAATCGAGAACATTATGATAGTATATATTATCGACTAATGTAGTCGAAATGTAAATTTATGGAATTCGGACGCCAAAAAAATAAACGCGGAAATAGATGTTGGTAATTTTTGTTTAGCGGCATATCAACATCTCTATGGGTTATTTAATGCCGAAATCTAAATACCGGGTGTAACAGCAAAATTGTGCAAATCGTGTAACAGCATAATTATCCATCCCACAAAATGTTTAAAAAATAACCACTAAACTAACTGAGTGTCTTATTTCTTGGTTTTCACATAAGAAATTTAGCCATCGAGACATCATTTTTCGTTAGAATCTCTGAAAAAAATACTCTTTCGGTTATTCAGCTAAAAAGAGAACAATGTTTTGCGTCAGACCCACTGTGTTCTCAACTGCGCAATGGTGGGGGGGATAATTCAGGCCTTCAGTAATGGTACCAACGTTCATACTCTGGCTTCCATCTTAAAAGTCCATTCAAGAACCATCAAGAGAATGATGAATAAGTTTAAAAAAGAAGGTACAGTAGAGAGGAAAACTGGATCAGGTCACAACAGGAAGAGGGATCATCACTTTAACTTAGCGCTAAAGAGCAATTAGAAAAGATCCAACTCAATTCATAAGATGTTTGGCACGTTAGAGAAGAGTTTCACCTATGAAAATCCAAAGAGCAGTGAAAAAAAACTTGAAGATGAAATCTTACGTCAAACGTGTGACGCGCCTTGTTACTCCAGGACAGAAAGTTAGAAGACTGGAGAGGGCGAAAATCATCTTGAATAATAAGTTGGAAATTGATCCTGAAATAATAATAATAATAATAATAATAATAATATATATATATATATATATATATATATATATATGAACTCCATTTCAATACTTTACGAGCTTCCGATCTTTAGCTGCGATTAATTATTGATAAATATGTAATTTTCGTTGATGATCGATTTCATCACGATTCTTCGGTTAATCTTGGTGAGTAATTATACATTCTTATTGCACAGAGTCCAGTAACGTAATAAAAACCTCGCAGAATTCCAGTAAGATATCTTTAATCATTTCTAAGATAGAACGTTTGAAAACTTAATCTAACAGATGGACAATTTTGCTGTTACAAGATCTGTACAATTTTTTTTATTACGCAGTATATATATATATATATATACAGCAAGATGGATCATCATTTCAAATTAGAGCTAAATAAATTCTTATTGTTCAAAGTAGGGTCCAATAGTGTTATAAAAACCCCAGAGAATTCCAGTAAGATATATTTAATCATTTCTATTATACAACGGCTCAGTGCTTAATCTAACAACTGGACAATTTTGCTGTTACTCTATTTTAATTTTAATTTTTGGAGATAACAACGGTTTAGTGATACAAGTCTTACTCATTAACTCATATCTGGAGGGAAAAGTTGTAGATTCTTACCCGTGGGTATTTGAATATAACGAACCCGACGGGAATTGGGACTCAGCTCTGCGATTAACAATTCTTCATTACACTTCACGCACATCCAAGCATACAGCACCTTGTATTCCCAAACGGTCACCCATCTAGCTACTGACCAGACTCGACGTCGCTTAACTTCGGTGATCCTACGTGAACCGGTGTCTCAACCTGATGTGACCGTAAGCAAAGAAGAAATAGACCATTAAATATATTCCATTGTAGCTTCGAAATAGTTTCAAAGGAGCAATTAGTAATTATTTTGTAAATTAAAAAAGTGAATACTCATAAACACTTTTGAAAAAAAAATAGCATTTATTTTCACAATAAACATTCATTTTTTAACAATCTCCTTCGTTGTCAAGGCACTCAATGCAGCGTTTATATTAATGAACTTTATATACTAACAATTTCTAGGATGCACCAGATATCTACACCACTGTGCAAATGAATTGAAGCAAAACGAATAATTCTGTTATTATTTAATTTTTTTTCTTATTTTTCCAATGAAACATGAGCCAGTGCACATGTTAATTCTTCGTATGTTCATTCCACAAAGTCATTCCTTGCAGATTGAGAACAGATTCTTGATTGGATTTAAATTAGCAGACTCTCACACTCTCCATATATATATATATATATATATATATATATATATATATATATATATATATATATTATATTATATATATTTGTTAGATTGATGAGCACATCAATCCAGCCAAATGTGTTAGCTCTATCTCTGATATTGAGCGCTTTCTAATAAGTACCGCGCATATAATATATAAACCCGTAATTATAACATACCTTAAAACTATATTTTAGCATATATATATATATATATATATATATATATATATATATATATATATATGTGTGTGTGTGTGTGTGTGTGTTTGAATAATATAGACATGTCTATTCGTTTTTATACTGACTCCTTTTCAGCTGTCAAATCAGTTTCTTGACGTTAAGATGAAATTCATCAAGGAAGGCGCCCTGTTTTTTTTCTAGCCACGTATTTTCAATCTCTTTCAAGATTATCCTCAAGATTAAATTATAACGATAAACTAATAAAATCTACATTTGGTTGTAAAGGGATTTAAAAAACACGATTTTCTTTTTTTTTTCAAAACAAACGTCCCAATATAAAAGCAAAAACTATTCTTCAATTCGCGTGTATATCTTTCATAAGTCGTCTAAAACTTATACATACATACATACATACATACATATATATATATACATACATACATATATACATATATATTTGTTTTTTTGTATGAATGATTCATGAATTTATATATATATATATATATATATATATATATATATATATATATATATATATATATATACTTCAAGAAAGACATTTGGGTCACTAACACATACAAAAAGAGAATGTCTCATATCGAGAATATTTAACATCGAAAAACATAAGGAAAAAAAAATATATTATTTTTAATAATTTGTAGGAATCTCCACCATTTTCCTGATGACGGTCACGAGACCGGAAACCCGTGTAGCAAAATTATGGGAAATAAAGCATGACATTTAAAAAAAAAATCCACAATTCAACCAAAAACGTTTGCGGTTTCTCTCTTCGTTTTAATATACACACGTTTCTCTCTTTGGAACTACTATAACCTCTTCCTTCTCTCTCTCTCTCTCTATATATATATATATATATATATATATATATATATATATATATATATATATATATATATATATATATATATATATATATAATCTTACGTTTATACATATATGCCTTTGACGAACACATTCGCATATGCATGAATGAGCACTAGTGATATCTTATTACCTTTATCGCGTGTCTTATGTTTAAATCAATAAAAGCTACCATGATTCTGTAATATTTGCATCATCAGTGCATCGGACATGGCTGCAATTTGAGCCAGACTTCTTCGTTATGATGCTTGGAAATATGGCAAAATAAATTTGGCTACTTGAGCTGCTGTCTCGACTCCAAAACACAAACTAGTAGTCGCGTTCGGCTGCCAGCCAAGTCGCTTGATTCGGCCAGAACCTTCGCCATTTATATTATATTGGCGTCGGAGTCGATCTTCATACTGCGGTTATTAATTGTTAAGCAAACGATAACTGATATAAAACATGAAGAATGTTGCTTTGTTGAATAAGATGGACTTTGCAAGTGACCTTCGTCGTTCATTGAAGATAGCCGTTCGATTTTTGCTCTTTATGTGATTTATATTTCTCTTGTCATTGATTTAAATTAATAGTGCCTACTGAATGAAGTCCTACGGGATTCATGATTGCCAGCTACAATATTAACAACATAAGATATGCAGATGACACAGTGCTGATAACGGATACGTCTAAGAACTCCTGCAGAAAGTAGTGAACAGAGAATAAAGAATTAGTCATCATCTTCAAGAAGACAGAGTGCATGGTTGTTAGCAAAAGATGCAGTTTACAAATTATAGATGTCAAACTCAAAGAAATACAAATATTGAACTAACTAGAAAATGTTTTAACAGAGGATGGTTAAGTGCGACATTGAAATCCGATGTCGTATTAGGATAGCAAAAGGGGCATCCGAAAAGAATGGTTCGAAGTAATACTTTCTCCATTATTGCAGCTGGCAGAGGTTAGAAAAAATTGTTTATTGTTACGTTGTTCTGGAATTGTCATCAGTGGTCAACTGAACTTATTTTGTTTCAATAAATTTATTTCCTATGTTTTTTGAAAAAAAAAAAAATTGATCGATTATAGATAGAAAAAAAGCAGAGTATTAAGAAAAAAAAAACTTCGCTAGAAACAACGAAAATTGTACTAAATTCTTACGTAATATCTGACCTCCTCTATAGGATTGGGTGCTGAACAATTTCCTAAAAACATGAAGAAGAGACTTGGAGCAACAGAAATGTGGTTCTACAGAAGGATGATTATGTGAGTAACGACAAAGTTTTAGAGAAAATGGAAACGAAAAGGATACTTATATTTAACATCAGGAACAAACAGTTGAAATTTCCAGGGCTCATATTGAAAAAAGACGCCTTGGAAAATCCGATACTCACAGGACAAATTGAAAGCAAAGGGAACGGAAGAAAACAATGTAAAACCTAGTGAGCTTGAATAAATGGATGGCGAAACAGGGATCAGAAGAGATAATAATGTAAGCCTCTCTATCCCCTAAGGACGTGCAGACATATAATTAGGACACTATCTCTCCTAGATATCTTCAACTTGGTATGGCTGTGGGGTCAGATTAGTTACATACAGTTTTAAAAAGTGGGCAAATAGATGATGCCAGTTTGGTCGGCGATCGGCTAGAGCTGCTGCTAAATGTGTTTCTTACTGACAAGAAAAGTGAGATGCCCTTCCTCTGGATTCAGTAAGCCGTGGTATTTTCTTTGACGACTAGACTGAAGAAAGTCGTACTCTTGTAGGAAGAAGGAGAAGGCCTGATCTCCGTTAAATGATAGTTTTAATAATAGTAAATAAAGATATAATATTTACAAAAAGTTTGGTATAACTAACACCTCTGGATGCGGTAGCGACTTGGAACCGAAGTGTGGATTCTCTAACTTTTATCAGAGAATCGAACATCGAATTAAGTTCTGTCGGGTATGAATTTCGTGCGTGTTGCTCAGCCAATTTCCAATGTGGCTCTCCTCTTGACTGTCTCCCTGGTGTCCCTCGGTTGTCTCTCGGCTGCTCCTCTGACGTTCGCTATATGTAAGGAGCAATCTATCCACGCGTTTTCATCAGAGGGGTCAAAAAGTGTCTTTTCCCCTGGTTTGTTTTTAACTTATCCAGACTTTAATTATCTCCAACCTTCAAAGATATTTGCTTTCAAAATAACAACCTTACATATTCATCTGACAAGCCTTTAGGCAAACATTGACAAAATGTTGTCACCTGTCAAAATCTGAAGTCGTTTCAACAATAGATGCTTTCACAATCCTGGGAAAATTTAATTTCCCGAAAGATTCAAACTTACAAATTTTTCTGTTCCACTCGCTACCACCAAAAACTAGAAATATAAAATACACTTCACTAAGAAACAAGTTAACTTGTTTCAAGATAACAAAAAGACAAAATGTATTAAGAGCTACAAAAGACAGGAAGTTGTGGAGAGCCATGATCGCTTCTGTGTAGTCGATTTTCTTAAACAGAAAAAAGAAGAATTATAAATAATCTCCTTTAAAATCCACTTTAACATTAAACACTATTATGTTTTTTATAACAATCTTCCCTCAGTACAAGTTCCAAGAGCCACTTAAGGTAGAGGGTTACAGAGTAAGGGGCACAATTTATGGCGATATGTGAGTAAAATAACAGTTAACCCTAGACAGATTAAGATTGTAATGGTCGGGGAAGCATCATCCTGGAAGTTGCTTTCATCAACCACAAGGACGCGGAAACGCTTTTGTGCTCTATCAAGACTGAAAAGTGGGGATTGTACAGTTCCTGTCCATACATGTTAACAGTACTCCATTTTCGGCCTGATCTAGTTCTGGTAAAAATAGAGCAAAGCAGGACGAGTTTGGTACATATTAGAGCGGTACAAGAAACCGATCATTTTTCAGTATCTTTAGCGATGGACCTTGAGGTCTGGATTGAGCTTAAATTTCAATAGGCGCTCAATTCTCGGAACATCCGTGAGAGAAAATAAACAGTAGTGAAATAAAAGGCCTCCTCCAGCCTCTTGGGTTTTTCTTTTACATTAATTTTTGAAGAGTGAATTCTAAATATGATTATATAATTATTTTTTGTAGTGAGTACAACAACAAAGCATGAAATAATATCTTTTAAATATGTTGCTTGGTTGATTTTGTTTAGCCTTATGGGTTATTTAGTGCCGAAATCTAAATATTTTGAATAAAATATTGTATCCCAAACTCAATATTTTTGAACGCAATTGCATGCTTTCATCTACAGATAAAATGTATTATTGGCCATTTTGCTGTAAAATGTATTGTTGGCCATTTTGCTGTAAAATGCATTGTTGGTCATTTTGCTGTAAAATGTATTATTGGTCATTTTGCTGTAAAATGTATAGTTGGCCATTTTGCAGTAAAATGTATTGTTGGTCATTTTGCTGTAAAATGTATTATTGCTAATTCGTCTATAAATGTGTAACGTTGGAATTTTTTATATAAAAATATATCACTGGTATTTTTACTATAAAAATGTAT